ATGTGCTTTTCATGCTCTCTCTCATCTGTTCTCTTGTTGCTTTTTCTCAATGACGTTTTCTGCTGTTCAATGAACAGTTAAAACTGAACTCTCACTAGTGTTTGCACAGGATCCCACGATCTCGGAACATCGACTTTTGAATCGTGATCCCGAGATTTCGAGATTGATAAAGCAATTTATTTGGTATAAATTTGGTAGTATACCCATCCTGAATCAAGCATTAATCATTCCTAGCTCATTTATATGCAGTCATATTTGATGTTGTTGCGTAATTTTTAACGTTTCTGAGAGCTGATCTCAAATTTCACTGAGTTTTATTCAAAAGATTCTTTCTTTTATAGACTTTGTTCTTCTGCAAAAAACAAAAACCCACTCAGTAACAACTATAAATTTAGTAATTTTCACTTGATATAAGAAACTTATCATACTTTATCAACAATGGGATTTCGAGTGAAAGCAAACGTACTGAATCCATTTTCATAACAGAATATAAAAGTAACTCTGTTATGCGCTGAGAAATCAAAACAATCATTTGAAGACTGTTTAATAATTTAAAGATTGTTGAACAGCTGCTTTATTAATTTTTAATATGTGATCGCAAAAAATCATCCAATCGCAATTTAATCTATACATGAATTGTAATTGTTCCTTACTGTTGATGCTTTGTTTTGGTGTGTTGTTTAGTGATTTGTTGAACAAACTGTCTTCTAATCAATTATAAACACATTGCTTCAAAAAGAATATGTTGAACATGTCACTGCAAAAGTTGTTCAATCACTGGATCGTCGTGGGCTTGAAAGACGATGCTGAGATTGAGAAATGATCCAGATTCTGCAAACACTACTGACACCTACTAGCGATCCGAGTTGATCTTACAAATTGAGGGATTTGTCTTGAATTTGCGGTTCTCATCCAAGGCTTTTGAGAATCTGAGGTTATGCTCTGCTCAATGGTCATATAATATCGAAGGTTGTTGAGTAAATCTGATTGTACTGATCACCCGAAGATGATATACTTCGAAATATGAGGCCCGATGGCAATTATCACGCCAAATTTGGACAAATGTATGGATTTCTTCAAAGCTTGAAATTTTTGTTCAGCAGCGTATCTCGACCTGAAGTGTTTCTCAGTGCGACATCAGAAGTTACCAAGCAAACTTGCGTATAATGATGCCCTGGAGACGATAATCGTCGGCATATACTCATATGCACGATATACTACCGTACTTTGTCCGAACGTAATTCATGCAACGAACTCTTCAAAACGCTCGTTTTGTTTTTCTGTTTTGATGTCTTTTTTTGTTTACGATGAAGGATTGGTTGTTATTGTGATGTGGAAATGTGACTTTTGCGATTAGATCCAGTTCGGTTATCTTGTAAACAAGTCATTTTATCCATTTTGCGATCTCGTGCATATTTCGGTGTGAAACGATATGGAAATGATCTGATGTTTTGTGTTTTTGTTGGAATCATGTGTTATTTTGCTGAAGTTAAGGCGTTATAATTGGTGCATTAAGTTTAATTCGTTGTTAAAATATGGTTTCGTTGCAGTTTATCATTGGCTAGGTTATGTCAATCAGCCGAATGAGCGTCACGGGCTCAGTTTCGGCCTTGCGCACCCCTTCAAACAGAAGTTAGTTGTGTGGCTTAATTTTTGTTTAAGTAAACATTCAGTTGCTCGATTTATTCTATGTGTGTTTTGTAGCCGACGATTCGGCATCACCGCAGCCTCGTCGTCTAGAGGTCGTTTCAAAACAAGCAACCAAAGTCACCGCCATATCGACTCGACTGGAATGGAAAATTGATCAGGTGATTATTCTTTTTACCAAAGTTTAAAGCAATTCGATTCATTTGTTGTTGTATTTCAGTTTGAAAAATTGATGAAATTGTTCAAAAATGGTCATAACTTGATCAGTAAACAGTTCGGTTGCCCGCAGGCGCCGACAGTTACTTGGGAATTACACGTTTACCCGAATGGAAAAAGAGAGGAAGATGCTGGAAATGTATCCTTCTTCTTGAGACAAGTCGGACTTCAAGTTAGTTTCACTTACTTGGCTGGATACGGTTTGTTTATTTGGAGAATTGAAAGTGTGGTGGTGAAATTTGAATTATTGCAGCGTGGTGAAGAGCCAATAATGACCGAATTTCAAATATATGCACTCGATGCGAACACGTTAAGAGTGAGTGTGTGTCGTGATACGAAAGATTTCACCAATCAACAAGGACGTGGCAAATTCCAGGTTATTTCCTTGAAAATTAAGATGCTGCCAGCTGAATTGGATCTTCGATGTGAGTGTTTCAATTTGTCGATAATTCAGGTATCGCGTGAGAAGATGATGGCAGCATTGAAACCTGACGGAGCGTTGTTATTAATTTGTGAAGTGGAATATTTCCCGCCGGGATCGAAGATTAGTGTGGAACAAGCGGTGGAGCCAGAGCAGAGTGACGATTATGAGGAGAAGAGTGAATTGTCAATTCGAGATGCTCTGAAGGAGATGTTGGACAGCGAGTTGTTTGCAGATTGTTGTATTAAGGTGAGCGGTGATTTTATTTTTGTGAATTGTATCGGTATGCTGTCATCTTAATGGATTCAAAGCACTCTCAGTTGATGAATGTTGTTTGTTAGAGGTGACATTAGTTTGATGCTTAAAGGTTGGTAACAAGACCCTTCGGGCGCATCGTTGCATATTGGGTCAGCATTCCGAAGTGTTTCGGTCGATGTTTGCACAGGAGTCTATGCTGGAAGCACAGAAAGGAGTTATTGATATTCAGGACTGCAGGTTTGAACCGGTATGTCTCTTTCATTCAGTGCACTTCAAATCGAATTTGCTTCGCTTACATACAATTAACCTTACATTTTTCTATTTGGTTTTTTCATTTGTGAAATTTTGCCACAGCTGACTAAACAAGTGTTCTGATGCTTGTAACTGGAATTTAAGGTGCGCGCGATGATAGACTACATATATACGGGATCGACGGAGCTTGTGGAGGGCTATGCAGAGGATGTGCTTGCGATAGCGGATAAATACGCGATATTGCCACTGAAAGAGCAGTGTGAACGTTACCTGGCCACCACGATCAACAGCAAGAACGTTGCCTCTACTGCGGTCTTCGCCGATACGTTTTCTGCATCGATTCTTAGACAGGTTTGTGCTAACGTTGAGCGTAACACTCACCTGCTTTTCAACCTGGTTTAGCTAATTCTTTAAGTGAGACTGAATGTAGAATCGATTTTTGATTAATGTGATGATAAGCGTTTAGTTATTTAATCAACTCTTTACGATTTTATTCTTCTCTGTTATCACCAATGTCATATCCCTCATTCTTCTTTCCGCGCAGCTAACGGTAATAGCGTTGGAAATCGTGTGTCTTTAACGTGGATTCAGCGATAATGAGTTACTGTTTAAAGGCATGTACTCGTTATATGATGGCACATCACCGAGATGTATTGCGATCAGCTGAATGGAAACAAATGAAACGAGAACGGAGTGAACTGGCGAATGATCTGCTGGAATCAGTTCTGTCCGGAGATGCATCAAGTTCTGGCACAGCCTCTGGCAGTGGCTCGTTATCGGATTGTTCTCTATGCAACTCGGACGACCCTTCGTGCTCGTCGCTTCCTGGATCATCTAATTCTTTGCATGACTCACGTCCAATCCTTAGAAAACGACTTCGAAAAACGTTGAGATGAATGGCATTATTATTGTGTACTCTCCAATTGATAGCACTGAAATGTTCGTTTATTCCATTCAATACGCGTATGATGCATATTTTATTTTATTTGTTTTCTTGTTTGTCTTTATTATTTCTATTTTAACACCACATTTACGGGCCATGCACTTCATGATATAGTTTGTGTTGTTGCTTATTTGTTTTCATTTTGTTTTTCCGATCATTCATTTCGTTTGACAGTCAACAAACACTTTTCATGTACAATATCAACTCAACTTTGTTTTACTGTTATTATTCGGTATTCACCGAAACTTCTGTAAGTTTGAATATGAGGCGGTGGGGACGATTCATCTCATAAAACGGTGTTCAATAGGGTAGAGTGTAAAGCCGACGATTATGAATAATTTGAAACGGAGTCGCGAATCAACATATATAATATATGTATATTGTTTGCATATGTTTATGTGTCCATGTGTACTGTTGTGATGATCTGTTGTTTACATCATCAGTTTTATTTGTTGTATATCATTTGCATTGAATGTTTGATTTATTGTTGACTTGATTTATTTCTCATTAATGGAATGAATATTTAACAAAGTATTTTAATCGTATCTACCTACATGAAACATATTGTTATCATCATTTATTTGAATTCGATGCACTCTCATACAAAATTTCATCTGAATGCAAAGGTTCTTAATGTTATCACTAATAAAAGTGTCATAAAATGATTTTTATCACACTGAAACAATGAGAAGTGCATCACAGATCGACAGATACATCCAGTATGATGATAATCTATGCGAGAATTATGCTTTTATTGGATCGATAAATTGTTGAAGAATAAATCTTGTGAAGTTTGTAAATTATGAATGCTTCTAGCTGGATGAAATCCGGTACGATTGATTCTATCTGCTCTAATGAAATCATGGTTCATTTTCACTGAACGATGAGGTATCGTAATAAAGTGTTTATAAATAAGAGATGAGTACGGATACATGGCGAATCGTCTGCATCACTTACAATATAAACGCTCGTCAAACAGAAAGTGATCAGATCTATCAATTGCTCGATCAGGAAGATGTGGGCAATTCAGATGTTTGTGCTATTGCCTTACAGGTATTCACTCTTTAATGAATATGTGATTTATCATTTATGAGCATTTTGGAACATGCTCGTTACATTTCTTACGTGTACAGTCACTTTGGAGTGTGTAAAGGTCCGGTGGCTAGATGAGGTAACTTCAGTGGACGGTATCGTGTGCATTTACTATCCGAAAGATAGACCAATATACAGTGGTGTTCGGGAGGGAATTCTTCCTGTAGGTGCGGGCAAGTTTTCAGTCTGTAGAGGTGCATCCATGGGAAGGGGATTGCGAAGTGCGGAATTGGTGAGTAGATGAGTGACTGTCATCAGTGATCACATGCAGAGCATATATCATGCAATCTTCTAGGAGTTATCTCATTCGGAATTGTTCGGAACAGTTCCATCAGAAGTGACATGGCAGTCGAACTTTACAGCGTGGATGATTGCAAATGGACGTTGTTTGGTGGGCAAACAGTCATCTGCGTCGAATTTATTGCTGGTGTTCGCCAGGTTGCATCTGTTCAGATGGATCGATAAGATTGACTCGAAATGTAGTAGATCTTCTTTTGGTGGATTGACTGGACATAAAGGGACGTTGGCGTTGAGGATACTTCTCAAGGTATTGGCTCTTCGGGGGATTTGGAGACTGAGATTGCGATTCAAATGATGCTTGCAGTGGTTCTCAACCTTTCGTCTCGCCCACACCCCTTAAAAGTTTTTAAAATATCCTCGCACCCTCACCTGCTTTATTGCATAAAAATAAAAAGTTATCTCGCACCTCCAAGGGGTACGAACACCCTGGTTAAGAAACCCAATGTTATTGCCTCACAAGATGGTCAGGATAGTATATTTGGGCAGGTCTTGGGATATTTGACCTGATAACTAAGAATTGGCCATTTACATATTTCTAGGAGCAAGTATAAGGATAAGCAAAAACCGTATGATAAGATAAGGTAATGATCAGGATGAAAGTTGNAAGATGGTCAGGATAGTATATTTGGGCAGATTAACAAGGTCTTGGGATCTTTGACCTGATGACTAAGAATTGGCGTTTACATATTTCTAGGAGCAAGTATAAGGATAAGCAAAAAGCGTATGATAAGATAAGGTAATGATCAGGATGAAAGTTGGTTGGTATTCGCATCATCGCATTTATTACCGCATACTGATGGTTATGAAGCGCGTTGCTTGCAATATGGATATGGGAAGGCGGCCATTTTCGAGAATATCACTGATAATGGGCATGCGATTATGTGGCTTGGCGATATGAATTGGCGTGTGGATGCACTCAGCGCGCAGCAGATGTTTGAGTTCGTTCTCATACTGATTGATTGATCTTATTCACACATCGAAGTTTCGAGCAGCAATAAAATGCAACTGGTTTTGCATAAGATTCAAACCAAAAGCTGGTTGTAAATCATTCCTCTGCGAGGTTTTGCATTGTGTTTATGAATTTCAGCAGATTGAATGCAGTTAAAACCGATGAAGAAATGGAGCGACTGGTTGATGAAGTGGATCAGTTGCGTAGAGCGCAACGCGATAATAAAGCCTTCACCGATTTTCGTGAAGCCCCAATACATTTTGCACCAACTTATCGCATTCTCGTCAGTGTTCTCTTCATTTACTCATTTCCAATTCATCATCTGAATTAAACACATGCCGTGTTGGAATCGAATGAGTATCACTGTAAAGTGAAGTATGATTTCAGGTTGGACGGACAAGGTTCGATGCAGAACGGGTACCGTCGTGGTGCGATCGTATTTTGTACCGAGGCGAACGTTTAGAGTGTTTGCGATATTCAGATAACCGTTTAATCACGATATCGGATCATTTTCCGGTGTGTGCGCAATTCAATTTCCATTTAGTGACACCCCAGCGAGGCACCACTCAAACGACCCCTCAGTGGAATATCGAGTTCGAGCCGATACCTCGTTGGTTCAGTGTGGTGCCGTTCACGTGTCGATTCTCGTTCCGCAATAAGTTCTGGCAAAGGTTCGGTTCCTATCGCGACTGGGTCGGTGTATTCCCGTCGCAACTTCCCGATCCGAGCCGTCCACTGCATTGGCTCTATGCGGTGATGTGCTATGAAAGCGTTATCGGTGCTAGAACGTTGAATGTCGCTGAATTTTCATGCTTAGCACCCGGAGCGTACAGACTCGGCTATTGGAGTGTTACGCAGAACTGCCTTCAGGGCATTTCGAATCCCTTCGAAATCGAACATCTTTCCTCATCATAATCCTTTTTATTCACTATGATATATCCTCGATAGCGTCCGGCCGTTGTTCTTTTCATTCACCGTTCGGTCTGCTCTCATTGTCAGTGAATTTTTGGCGTTTGCTTCGTAATTCTTGCGTTTCTATTGTCTATTGTTCTATTGTTTTAAACTAGTTATCAGGTGTGCATAAACGCATAGATATCTCAGTTTTTGGTGTTTGCTTCGAGCATTAATCTGTTTAAACCAATGATTTTAATATAAGCCAAATATCTTCATTATATTAGCCAAGTATCTTTATCGTCGTCATTAAATGAAATTGATAGTGCTATCTGATTTGATCACGCGAATGTCATTCTGATATTGTTATTGCATTTGGAACTCGTTTTTTGGTGGAAATCGATATTGATATTGATGTGTGTACGGTTTTGTTGTAAGAGTATGTGTTGTATTTTATGGATACACTCGTGTTGTATTGAATAAAGAATCATTATAATCGTATTGATAGGGTACTGATGATCAATAGATGACTGCAGCATTCATTATGAGCAGTAGTTTTTTGATTGCTGTTGTGATTTCAGTGTCCTTTGGTTGGAACCACCAATTTTGAATATTGAACTGATCGGATTGCATTTACATACACGACCATATGGTATAATCGCAACGTTTCAGATAGGTTAAATGCTTAACTGAACGAGTTCCTCTTTTTGCGTTCAATTCCTCTCATTAAGTCAATTTTCACTCTTTTTCGATGTTTATCTCGAAGCTATCAAAAACTGATAAGCAAACCTGAGCCTAGTGATCGTCTGAAGAGGAGACAACTCAAAATATGAGATCCGTTACGTCAATTGAGCACATCTGCGGAGCAGTTGGCAGTGGATTGCATTGTAATGCTAGTCAAGTAGACGTTGTTATCATGTTTGTTAAATGAACATAAACAACGAGCGATTGCAGCGGAAACGGAATGGGTGCGGAATCAAGTAAAGGTCAGAAGGGAAGAATTGATAAGGATGACGGAAATGACGAAACGTTGCGTGATCGCAGAATTGTGGTTGCGTTTGAGTCGTTAGCGAATGGTAGTGATAGGATCAACTGTAAACACTTCACGGTAATTGCTTATTGGTTCGATTTTGAGTTTGTCTTTTTTGTTGCTTTATCAACATTGACTTTACATTGTATAGCACATCGTAGCATGCAAACTGTACATGGATATAAAAACTGATAAACGATCATCATCATATTTCAGTGGTAACAAATAAAAGTGACGCAAATATTCACAATGAGAACGATTCAAAAACAGCTTGAGATAGCAGATGCCTCCCCTCTCTGTGTTCGATATGCACTTAAAGACACGTGCAAATGTGCTGCTGTAAATTGAAAAGCGTAATCAAATCAAATGCACTCATCGATTGTCATTATTCAGTTCAATCTAAAAGAGCAAATAACCACAATATGATACAATTCAATATTTTCACATCACATTATTCAACCACTTCACATTCGTTTGCAATAATAATAATAATATACAATTATAACACTGTTGCATCCCTCTTTTTTCAAACTCATTTCCTGTTAAAAATTAGGGTCACTTACCTGCATTTGTGCTATTCTCCAGCTTCGTCGCTTTACTTTTGGTTTTATTGGGTGAGGTGATGCTATCTTCCTTATTGATTTCATTATTATTATCACTGATATCGACATTATTACTATTAAGATCACTATTGCAACAATTGAAACCATTGGATAGAGATGACGGCGTGACAATATTGAATTTATCGAGTTGAGTTTGGTGCTGTTGCTTGAGGGTGTCGAGCTCGATTAAGCGTTTTTGTAGTTCGATTTGCTTGAGTTTTTGATCGATTCTTGCATTTTCGATAGCGATCAGCTTGAGTTGATGTTCGGCACGAGCATTCTGGAGTTGTTGAGAGAGTAGACATCGCTGAATTCTGGACGTTTCATCGAGATGCGCGGTCAGGTCCAGAGTCGGACCATTTGACACTCCTAGCCCTGATGATTCCTCCATCTCGGGCTCAGGAGTTGGCGTGCACCCGTCTGCAACATCCGCATTGCTGGAAATTTTAATGATAATGAGGTTTATTCGATGTGTGTGAATGACACGAACACAGTTTGAATTGAAACTGTGCATCGGAAATAAAGGTGAATCACTATCTAGATTCAGTAAATTCATGCGTCTAATTTCAATTCAAAACGGAATAACGCACCTATTTTCAAAGGAGTCATTAGAAGTGGCACGATGTTG